TTGTGGTTTTGTGTACTATAGGCTTTAGTCCCCTGAACAGGGGACTAAGCGGGGACTAAGCTTTTTGTGGGGGGGACTAAGGGGGACTTTGCAGGACTAGGGGGGACTAAGGGTTTTTAGTAAGACTACGTAGTATCAAGCGAGAAAAGTTTGACTCGGAAGAAATTGGTGTGGTTTTTTTGATTTTAGAATTCAGTTTGAAATAAAAAAGCCCATAGACTCGATAAATGTTAGTTCAGCCACATGGTTTGAAGACATTATATGAGGCAATAAAGTAGTTAATGATGAAATATTATCTGCTATATTCAGTTTAAGAATATGTGAACGACCAACTTTATCAAATGGAGAAGTCGATGTAAAGACTTCTAACTCACTAATATATTTATTTGGAATACATTATTGAAAAAACTCTTCAAAAATTCATGACAAAGTATAGAATAAATTTAGTCGATATTTAGGTTTTTTGAATTAAAAGAAAGATGAATTAGATGAATTCAAAGAATATTTTATGATCAATGTGACTTGTAATCTATCGAAATAGATAACTTACGTAAATTTCCTTATGACTCATGAATGTTTCATCAGCAGGCCAATATTCAGAAATAAATGTGGCATTTGCTATTTGACGACGATGAGATAAACTATCACGTGGTACATGTTGATTAAATTCGCAATGTTGTCGATTATTATGAATAATAAAAGCATAATGAACATTAATATGACAATGATCATTAAAGAGAAGTGAATTATTCATTTGATAGAGATTATTAACATTAATAAAAAGAGAAAAATTCATTGGTCGTAACATAGGCATTACATTACAAGTTGTTAATACATTAACAAATGACCATTTCTCAGATGAATGCCATTTAAATGATTTAGCAAAGATAAACGTATGTAAAGATTCTATACGAGGTAAAGTATTTTTATCAAATGAAGAAAAACTTCTATAACCACAAAAATCTGGCATTTTTATGTGCAGTTGTTTTAATGTATGAGATAACGGTTTTGTTGAGAGTATATCAATTACATCAAGTGTCCGATTAATTGAAATTTTTAGATAGATTAACGGTGTTGATATCGTTTGGAAAGGGCACTTATGTAAGTAAAAAGACGTTTCCATTCCTAAATCAAGTGATTGAAGGGTAGGTAGATAACAAAGAATTTTTTCGACAAATTCTTTTAAGTTCCATAATGGATAACCTCTTTTTTTTATCATATCAACCTTTAAATAACAAAATATATTAGAAAAATATATATATAATAGTAATTGAGAATTAAAATCTTCTCTCTACTTATTCAAACATCTTGGTAAAAGAAATATTTTCTAACAAGAATAGAATTCTTCAATATATCTAGTCAAGGAACTAAAAATTAACTATTATTGCAAAAGTTATATATTTATTCATATTGGAAATACTCATTTCTTTAGAGTTAAAATACTATTCGAGACTTGAATATAATTTATTGGTTATATTTTAAGTCAAGTTTAATACAATAACTAGTCAAATATTATTTTCTTAGATATCTTGGACTGCAAAACACGTTAATATAGTTTGTAGAATGGTAAATTAAACAATTATTTCATAGTAAAATTTTATATATCGTTATACAAAAAAAAACAACTGGTCAGCAACATTGTTTATACTATTTAGAGTTTTGTTTATTTTCTTCATTATCACTGAAATAACTTCTAACGGTACTTACTCTACGAAAATATCCACTTGATTGAACTGTAAAATGAGACAATGTATTTACATGTTTTATTGCAAATTTGAAAACATTCCTAAAGTTGCGTACACCTTGTAATCGTAATGTTGTTAAATTCGTTAAATGAGACCATCTTCGCAGTTGAAGAGGTGATGCACAACGATCAATGACGAGTGATTCTATTTCATTTAATTAAAGTATAGATAGAATCGTTTCGAACTGTTTTCTTCGAGTGGATGATAAATTAACATGACGATAAAAACCTCGTTCTTTTAATAATGTTGTCAAACAAGAATTTAGATTAGAGAATGACCAGAGAGCATCAACACAACATAAATAAGAAAATATTTCGAGTAATATTAAATCAGGTAAATCATCGAACAAACTGATCATTGTTATTATTTTAATGATAACGAGCAATTTTACATCTATTTCATAATTACTCATCTAATGATATAATGTGGACGATCATTTTTTTTTTTTTTGCTGTCCATTGTTCTCCATGACCAATGGCAACAATTGTTGAACATATTGATTATTCTTTGTTGTATAAAGAAAATAAGATGAATTATGGAACTGAAAAAAATATAATGCTTACAATTGACACTAATCTAATATGAAATATACTGTACATAGTTTTTCTCACATATCATTCAATGAGAGTACTAAAAATTTTCTTTTCCAGTCAAAACTATCAAAATCTAGTGTATCTTCTTGTCAAAGTAAAAAAAATACAAAAATAATTTTTATATCGATAACTTTTACATCATTAATTATCAAGTAGTATTATGATTAATTGCTGAAACTTACGCAATCTGGACTAAATGGAATATATATCGAACAAAAATATTTTATTTTTCAAAATCTAAACTCTGTCGAAAAGGGTGTGGGTGTAGTGTCCCAGTATACAGCACCCACCCACAGCCACCCCAGTAAAACCTCTATTAGTGAACATTTCTCATATGTAAACACCTCGTGTTTTGAGCAAGGGTTTGATCCCATAGAGCGATTTTTTGCTGGAAATGCATCTCCCATAAGTGAACACCTCCCTATCTCTGAAATTGAACGCTGCTTTTATAGTCCCAAATGCTATTATAGCCTCTCTTAGATGAACACACGTGATTTTTGCTCTCTCTTTCTCCACTTTATTGTTGCTGACTAATGCAGTAAAACTGGCTATTTATTTATTCTTTTACAAATATACGTATCAGACGAACAATGACATCTCGACACCATCTTACACTAAAAGAAAAAATTGAATTAATTAATGATAGTCATGATAGTAATGGTTCATCACAAAGTAAATTAGCTGACAACAATTAAGACAGGTGATTTTGTTGATATAGATGATAATATACCTGCATTTAATGAATGGTTTGATAGCTGTAAAAATATTTTAGTATCTATTATGAATGAACAAGATGATGATGATAATAATTCTACATCTACAGAAATACCACCAAAAATAACCGAAGCAATGAAAATGATGCAAAAACTTCGTTTATTAGCAACAACACAACACTCACAAATACATAAATTAATTAGTGAATTAGAATCATAATTAATTGATGTTTATATTGATTCAAAAAAAACAAATATGGAGGACTTTTTAAAATACGGCTAAGTTTTTGCTTTTTTGAGAAGTTCTTTGATTGCAGTAAATTTAAATGAAAGAAAGTTAACAAAAGAGAAAATGGTCCCTAAATACTTCAGAAATAGTAAAGAAGCTCATTTTCTAAAACTTTACTTCATTTTGATGTCAAATCTATGATATCTCCCACAGATGAACATCTCTAAAAAATGAACACTTTTCAAAAGTCCCAAGAGTGTTCACATAAGAGAGGTTTTACTGTATATATATATATATATAGTTACCATTTCTGCAATAAAGTAGTAGTTGAGTATAGATCTGTTAGGTCAATTAGCCGTTAACAAAGGACAACATGAATTTATTTATACATACAAATAGGTATTTTTTCAATTTTATAAAATAGAATATAAAAAGAAAAAGAATAAGAGACAGATCATTTAAAGTAAAAAAAAGCTTTATTCATACAATAATATACTTGTTGTTTCATTTTTCTTTTTGTTTTTTAATTGTAATTAATTGTTTTATTTCTCTAATTCATATAAAATAATTTAGTTTTTCTTTGTTGTATTGCTAAAATATGAAATTACTCCTACTACTTAATGAATTAATTATTATACATTTACTCAAATAAAGGTTTTTTTATTGCTCAAATCTTATTGATAAATCGTATTTTAATTATTACCCATTCGAGTACTTTTATTGTTCAAATAAATACTAACCTTATATTATGTTATGAAACAAAGTTCAGTTTGTTTAATTATCATAGGAAAAAGAAAGTCGTACCATCGAAATCAGATATTCCAATAAACTAAACATCATCGAGAAAGTGTCAAAGTCTCGACATGTTTTACTCGGCAAGGCATAACTAGAATTTGGTTTTTATTAACAAAAAAAAAAAAAAAAAAAAAAAAAATGAAACGAGTAACACGTAAAAATATCTTGACAAGAAAGTACATGTTCGAATTGACTTTTTTTAATATAAGAGTTAACGAACAGAGAACTATAAAACTAAGTCTCGATTAGTTGTAAATGATCGTAACGAAATGAAAATTGTTGCTGTAAGCAAAATCTTTCTTTTTTATCCTGAAAGGTTATCGGTGTCGATATAGATGGTATATGCATGAAACATGAAAGAAAATCCATGATTATATTAACGTATTCTTCATTTATCTCTTCCTACGAATTCGCAATATGAATATGATGTCTTAGTTTTTATATTTTTCCCAGCTAATCCATAGTGATAATAATACTTGATAAAATTCTAATTAAATCATAATAGAATTTGTCTTGTAGTAGTTTTAAATAGTAAGATCATAATATTATTATTTTAATTGTAAATTCGATTAAGATGAATTTATATTATGTTTATCTGCATTAGAATTAAGTTTAAATTGATTGGAATATTCAAAATATATTAGTTTTGAATAAAAACAAAAACTAAGTGAAAATCGATTAAAAAAAAACTTTGAATATTAGGTGACATTTTGACTACTTTTTTTTTTACACTATTTCGCTTATCATTGTTTTCGATCAAATATTTTAGCAAAATTTTTTCACAATTCTACTTTTCACAGGATGATTATGTTTTCTTCAAATATCTTATTGGAAGATACCTTTTTTTTTCTGAGCTCTATGGATTAATCTGTGCATTGATTATATTTGAGAGATACAACATTTTGGTTATTATTCGTCGTTTTATGCTATGTTGAGATGAAATGTCTGAGTTTAGAATACAAAATTTTGAAGATAATTCAAAGCTCTATTAAGTACTATATGAAAAGAATTTTCAAAAATTTTGGTTTCTTTTTACCAGGACACTTAGCTTGACTAATTATGAATAACATTCAATAGCATTGTTTGAAACCGTTTTGAATAGGTAAAAAGCTTTTAAAAAAATACACAGACGAAGAAACTATTAGTTTCTCTAAGAATTCATATAGATCGGTCTCAGTAGTCAAAAATAATCCTAAGTGGCAGCATCCTCTAATGGTTTACAGTTCTTGTGATGATAATATAGTTGAATAATACTATAAATTTTCAGATTCGAAATATTTTATGATGAATCTAAACATATGAGCTGTATAAATTGCATGAATTGGAAGTTATTTTTAATGGAAAATAAGTATTATTGTTTTAGCATGGATAATAGATTTCCACGAACAATCAGTTGTTCAAGATCATCGAAAAATCTCGAGTTTTTTTCATCAGTCTCTCAAAAGAAAACACAAAACATATCCGTACTCAGTTGATCGGACTCTAACTAATTATAAAAAGAAGTTAAAAGAAATTTTGCTTAAATTTTACATTTTGTACTTGTTATTAATACATATCATCGTTCTGATTTATTTCGTTTGAATTCATATTTGAAAGAAAAACGAATATGAAGCAAAATTAGATTAAAGTTTACTAGAAATAATCATTGCATGAACATTTTCCACTCTTATAAAAATGATGTATTCGATTTGCATCACGAACAATTATTTCACATTGTCGAATAGCAGCTATTAATTTTGTTGCTCGATCTAAGAAAAATAAAGAGAAATGAGAAAAGAAAAAGGAATCTTAATTAGTCACATACGACAATCACCACAAACACGAAGATTTTTTGCTACTTGAATTCGTGACGTATTAGGGTTTTCAACAAAATTCCATGCTATTGCAAGTTTTTCACTATGACCACAAAGAACAGATACAATTGTTTCGTTGTCATTTATAGGTCGTGTTATCCAACTTGAATCAAATTGATGACCATGTGCAATAAGTTCTTTTGACATTTTCTCAAGTTCAGCATAAATTTCACGTGATCGAGGATGAGATTGATCGTGAGCTCGAAATTCCTAAGAAAATCAAATTTAACTATCTATGTTAAATATTTACTATAGTTGCCGACTTACGTAATATTTTTCATTGACTACAGTCCATGAGATACCAATTTTTCTCTTTGCACTTGATTTATATAATTGAATTCTAATATCTGATGCTTTGTCAACATCACCCGATGATGCATAGGTATTAGCAAGAAGAATCGCTGCTGATATTAATGGATTAGTCGATTCAGGGAAAAGTTTCTTTATACGATCATAAACTTTTTGTGATAAATAAGCATTACTAACATTTCGAGCACCTGATAATAATGCCACTAAAATGAATTAAAAAAATTATTATTTTATAATCATAATCTTTTAGTTTTGTTTGGTATTAAGTAATTAACTTTTGACGTTTTCTAATCAAAACAAAATCATCTCATCTTCTGTCATTTCTTATTAGTAAAAAATGAAGTTGAAAAATATTCTTTTTCTTGCTTATATTAATTTGTCAAGATGGAATTCTTACAATAAAAACTTTAGATTCATTCTCATTTATTAGCAACAAGAAAGTATTGATTTCTATCAATTATCTTCAAATTTAAAAAAAAAAAATTATTCTCCTTAATTATTCAATTTCAATGAATTAATTCACATTTCGTGAAGAATCAAATATTTTCAATGATGTTTTACTCGACAAATAAATCTATTAAACTTTTTCTTTCCTTAGAAAAAAATTCAGTTCTACCGGATTAAACGATATTGAGATCAACGAATTGGAAAATAACTTCCAATGGGATCTTTTACGAATGACACGATTTTTTTTTCATACAAAGTTTTATCTAAAAAACTCGATGATTTCCCTCGTCTCCTACTTGAAATGTTTGCTTGTCTCAGAAATAATAGCAAATCTTTCGGATTTTTTTCTCTGTTCATATTTTTGTTCATCGTCTATTTCAGATTTGCTGAGGGATTTTCAGTATAGAGACTTTTTTTTAGTTCTTAATCGAAACTGGTTATTTATAACGGCGAGAGACAGAGACCTCTCTCAATTTCTGTGCGGCCACCATTAGCAGCAGCTTTAAAAGTGTTTAGAAGACTCAGAGAATTTTCGGGACTAACTGAGCTTTTTCTATCCCTTCGTTAGCATCGCTATTAGTTATTCAATTAAGCGACTTTATTATTGTATAAAAATGCATTTAATCAAATAAATAAGTATTTCGAGTTATCGAACTAATCATCGATTCTTGTCGCACAGAAAGTAAGAATTTGCAAGCAAGTACTGTATTACACACCGCAGTTTAGTTAACTTTTTCATATTAGAAATAGATGATAAAATTTATTCAATGTGTGAAAAGTTCTCCAATATGAACAATAGCTACTTTACATTTCAAAACGAAATTTATCAGCCGAGTTTTATCAAAAAGACGAAGACTGTTTTAAACAAGCCTTTCAGAAGTTTTACAGTTTTAATTCTTTATCAGATCAACTGAATTTCAAATATGTCACAATATTCACTGAAAAAAATTAATCAAGTTCATTTTATTAGGAAAATGTATCAGTATAATGTATTCTGACTATATAGAATGTTCTGAATTTTCTATAACATTCTATACAAAAGACACAATTCACGAGGAAAATGTTTCAAGTGAGCAATAGCTTTTGAATTCGAAATTTTTATATAAAGTAGAATTCAGTGAAATATAAAAAACCTTAAAATATCATCTACTCTTAGGCCTTCCCGTCAGAGTTCTAGCAATATTAATGAAGTTTTAGCATATAGAAGGATAATGTACACAAAAATATTCAATGACTAGCGAGAGCCTGTGTGTACTGCACGGCTATTTTATCCTTTATCGTATGACCTCAAACGCTTGACTTTTCATTCAGTAACAGACACACAGACACTCGATATTATGTATATAGATAAATAGCCCTACGGTCTCATACTCTTATATCGCGCATATTTTTATAGTTCACGTAGTCTTACGGTCTTGTAGCCTTATCCCCATATTGCTTTACTCCCTCGAGAACTTATTGGCATCTCCTCCTGGAGAGCGCTTGAGAACACTTGGTTACCACTATATCATAGTCATTGATGACTTATGGGTACCTTCATATAATAGTCATTGAGGATCGATGGGTACTCTCATATAATGGCTCTTGTGGACCTATGGATATCCCAATATAGCAGCCCTTGTAGCCTTAATTAATCTTTTACCTTTGACCTTTAACCTGGACAGAGAAACACATACATAGACACTGAACATTATATATATAATTATATATATATATAGATGATATTTCGATCTGAAATTCGATCAACAGATAGATCTACTACCTATAACTATATTATTCTGAAACTTACACAGCAACTTATCTTGCCTTGACAAGATATTAGTTTTCGAGAAAAATAGGAGATATGATTCCATGGTATACATGAACAATTGTACACAATATCTTTCAAATCGATTTTTTATATATCCCATTGTGTACATAATAGTCAACTCCATTAACAAAATAAGATTTGTTTTGTAATTTGTCATTACTTCCGAGGAGAGATCAATTGGAACAAATTCTTTAAGACAGAGAAAAATATCGAGTTTTTTCTTATTTCAAGATTTTATTTTCAAATAGATTTTCTTGAAAATTTTGATCTGATGATAATATCAAGACAGATTTTTTTTCTTTAGTTAAAATGAGATAATGAAGGGATGTCAGTTAAAAATTAGTCAAAAACTGAGAGAAATTTGCTTTTCATAATTTTCTAATAAAAAATTCCTGAGTGTAATATTGAGTACACATTTTCTCTTCACTGACAACAATGTCCCAGTTGACCGATATCCATTCTACACTCACATTCTAGAATTCTCCGTTACAAAATTATGAAAAGTATATTTCATTCAGTTTTTGACCAGCTTTCAACTGATATCTCTTAATTATTTCACTTTGATGGAGAAGAATGATCTGTCTTAATACCTTCGTCTATAATATCTCACTGAACTTTACTTTAGATACAAATTTCGAATCCAAAGGCGATTTATTATTTAGAACGCCTCCTTCGTCAGTCGATTGTTCGTTAAAATGAATCTTGTTAGCATTTCGATAATTTATCATTATTCGAATTATTTTTGAAAAGATATTCGAGACAAAAATGTGAAATTCTATTTTTGCCTCACTAAAGTCAATATTCGATTAGAAATCAATTAATACTGCCGAATATTTTGCTAAAAGTAGAATCGGGTAGAAAGAAAAGAGAAAATTTCATTTGTAACAGTCATCTTGATAAACACTTTAGATGGTCTTGAATCAATGTGCACTACTATCAACATTATATGTTTAAGCTGACTTTGATAGTGATGAATCTTTTATTTACTTCATGGAATAATAGAAATATAGATGAATACTTTATTATTTTATAGAAATTTCCGAATAAGGTGAAATAATTTTCATAATAAAAGATAACTTATTTTGTTCGGAATATCTCATTGAAAGAGAATGAACTGTACAAATATATTTGAATCATCAGTTTCTTTATTCGAATTTGAATATTAATCAACATTCAACTGATTAATACGATTTTGAAAATAAATAAAAAGAAAAATTCAACTTTAACTTTAGTCTAGAATAACGAAAGATGGAAGTGAACGGAATTTCCATCAGAGTTCATATATATTCTTTTTAAAGAATAAGAACAAAGAGGAATATATTCAGCGTCAATTATCTTTCGCTATAATTCATGTAAATGCATTGATATATACATATATGAATTATAACTATGATTAACTAAAGCTAAATATGTGGTTAGAAATAATTATGTGCTGATGATAGGTTTAAAATCTTTCTCGATATTTTTAATTTTTGCTTAGGCAGCTACTCTTCAACTTCGAGTCATTATTTTGAACTGTGAATATCGAACAAAATTATATTAGCAAAAAAAATCTTAAAGAAAATTGAATAATAATAAAAGCAACTAAAAGACATAGCTTTATCCATTTAACATTTATTCACGTTTTCTGTCTCAATAAACTGTAAGAAAACTATATTCAGAAAGATGATCTATAGACAATTTTAATCTAATATAACAGTTATTTCTTATGATCCTTATTTAATAAACATTTTTTAATAATATCATGAGATAACATTGAAAATTTTCGAATAACTTCTCAAATACAATATCGAAATACTCTGAAAATTTCGCACGATTTAAACGCATAAGATCCATGATCAGTTATTTATGGTACAAATAGAATTTAATCATGTATAGCAATAATCTTCTTTAACAATATATTAAATATAATCTATCGTTCTAGGGTTAAAGACAGGCAACTAGTATATTAGTTTTTAAAAACAAATAAAATTATTTTTTCAATATCAATCTTTCCATAGAAGAAAACTGTGAGCGTAAATACGCAGACTAATTTATGTAATACAATATAATTGTTGTTGATAATCACATGACAGTCCTTTGATTCGATCTATTATCGAATGTATTTCATCATCATTGATTATTTAATGACCTAAGTCTGTAATAAAGGAATGTTTCATATATTTGAATAAGATTTTACTAATATAAGATCTGCTATTGCCTATCAAAAACATCTATCGACGTGTAGAGAGGACCAACTTGTTCAAATTTCTACGTTTACATAGTTCAACATTCGCTCTGATTCCGTTCTCAAATAAACAAACCTATCAAAGATGTAGCCAAAACATGAGCTTCTAAATGTAACTATTAACACTCTACTAAAGTTTAAAGTAATTAAAATTATTAGAAATATTTATTAATGTTCAATGATGAAATAACGATACGCAGCTAATAAAATAATGAATAGAAAATATTGATATATTGTCTATCTAGCATCGTTGTAAATCTTGTCATTAACGGAGGACTCTTTTATTTGAATTGATACACATTTCTATTATAATTATTATTATTAAATTTCTTGAATGGAAAAATTTAAGTTCAAAGGCAAATAATGTCATGATTTTTAGTATAGTCCCACAAATAAAAACATTTAAGTGAAATATAGATAATTCTAAAAGAATAGTTCATGTATACTGATGAATTTGGAGTTTTTTATGTGCAATAAATAATATTTAATAAATTAATTATTATCTCAAAAATAACTTATCATGTATGAGAATTCAATCCGAAATATAATATTTATTGTAAGAATATGAAAATGATTTACTACATTATACTTATGCTCCTTCCATAAGCAAAAAAAAAACAAATTTTTTCTTCACATAAAATATCGAAGAAAACTACGTATGTATGCTATATAGCTAAATAAAATGATGAAAATTTAGCAAAATTCATCGAGGACAGAAAGATATAAGTATATATAGTTGCAGATAATATAGTGTACGACATATGGTTAGACGAAATATATTGTTGATTAATTTACTGAATTCGTCTTTTTATTGCACCATTTAAAACTAATAAATATTTTGGACAATTTTAATCCATTTGAACTTCATTAGAACCTTGATAGTTACATTGAAAAATTGCTGATTTTTGTTTTTACATGTTTGAAAAGTTTGACTATTTGATAAGGCGATTAAAATATCTGATTGAAAAACAATTTTTGCAATAGAAAGAAAATCTGCTTGTTATTTTGTCATTATGTTTCTTAGGGTTGTTATCGTAATATTTATAATGATCATTATCAATTTGATATATCTGTTTTATTTTTGAGAGATTAATGGATAAATACTTCTTTCTGTTTTGAAATCTTATGAGAGTACGGCGATCAGCAAGTCAAAATTGTCCTATCGAGATTCATAGTTGATATTGAATATATGAATGAACTGCAACTGTTTGCTACAATTGAATTTTAGCGATATTTTTTGAATAACTTTTTTTCTGCTTGGTCAATTTCGACAATTTTTTTTATACTTCACTAATCCTTAAGTGTCCCACACTCACACAAAATTTCAGCTCTCTACCTCATACCGTAGGTAACTTATGAAAGACATGATGTGACAAAACTTCATTTTTCGATGACCTATACGGAGAAAATAGAGTTTTTTGGCTATAATAAAACAAAAGAAAAAAAAAATACAAATAGATTAATTTGTAGAACGTTCGACGCTCTATCGAAATATGCTGTTCGTTTAAATTTTATTCGCTCTTCATCCGCCCACCTAACGTTCATATTGTTTGACAGACACTTGTACATTATTGTGTTGAGTGATGAAAACACAATTCTAACCTCAGTTGATCATAGAGCTAACGGTCTTTAGACCATATAAAAATAAAGACTCTTTACCTCACAAATTGGTGAAAAAATTTCTTACTTATCAACTTTATTTTTGATCAAAAATAGCAGAACTTTTGAAAAACAACGTCATTATATTCACTTTGTAGAGTGATGATTTGAAAATTGTACATTCAATAACTCGGTAAAGGTATGTTCAATGTGGCTGAATTTTTTACAATAGATAAAAAGTAAAGTTATATAAGGGATAAAAATTTCAGCTCTTAGTAATATATCATTCAAAAGAAATTTACGATATACTGAAAAATGTAGAGTGACGATTTCCATGTAAATATGTCCAGTTGAATATGCTCGCAAATATTCTGTTCGGGAAGAATTAAACTCGACAGAGTGAAACAAGCAAATCTATATATTATGAGATATATTTGACTAGTAATTCTCTTTGTAATAGTAATGATATGACTCAAGTGTTTTTCTTTGTGTGCAGGACATTTCATTACTGAATTTAGCAGGAACTGAACTATATATCGTGTATCTGGTTTAATACTCAATAAAGTATTCGAAAAATTTTACTATGTACTACAGGCACAGAGCATAATAAAATGCACTACTTAAAAGTCGTTTAGATTCATTTTCATTTTTTTGTGTCAATTGTAGCAAAAAGTTGCAATTCATTTATATATGTATTATTTCATAGAACCACTTCTTCTAAATATTCTTATTGAAAACTTAACCTCCACATTACTAAACTTGCGAAAAAAAAATCAAAAATTTTTGTCACCAATTAGTTGCCTATCAACGATATTGATTGAATCTTGATTTGTAAAAATTTATAGATCTATAGAACTTTCGTCGAAAAAAAATCAAGTTAAAATAATTTTTATTTCTCATAAAAATTAGATTTTCGATGTGCCAATGATACTAGCTGAGTTTAAAGAGACTTAGAAACTGAAAAATACTGTTGAATAAAAAAAACACTTATGAAAAAAAAAAAGAGAAATTGAAAATCATATATCAAATCGTTCCTTCTTACTCTATTAAATTTTCTCAACAAAGAAAATTATTCTATTCGTTTGTTTATTTGACAATAAATATTTCCATTAAACTTATTTGAAATAAAACTAATTTATTGAAAAGATTAGATCTGAATGTTTTGATAAAAAAAAATCAAGAAAGATCGAGAAACAATAAATGATATTCAATTTTGACATTTATTGTGAGATAAAAATTAAAAGAAACTTTTAAATATATCTCGAAATAAGTTAAATACTTTGAGATACTAACTATGCATAGGCCATATAGGTAGATGATTACGTTCGAATTCATCAATTAATTGTTCTGCTTCTTGAAAAAAAGCTCCACGACTTAGACAATCGATCTAATAATAGTAGAAATCGAACAATTTTTGTTGAAATTTAAAAAAATGATATGATTGGTATACCATAGTTGTATATATTTTTTCTGTTTTATTTTGAATATTGTTGAATACAATACGAGCGTCGTCAACAAGTCCTGAATGTGAGCATGCATTTAAAACACAGATATTTACTACTTCATCAATTATTTCAATAGGCATATGACGATAAATTTTAATAGCTTCTGTGCCTATACCATTCAAACCATATGAATTAACTAGAAAAAAAATTTGAATATTAATTTTAAAAAGAAAATAAGTTAAAACATACTCATTGCTGTATATCCAATATGATCTGGTTGAGAGATTTTTTTAAAAATTTTCTCTGCTTGATCAACATAACCAGTTTTACCCTAAAGGAATTTTTATTAAAAGACAAAACAACATATGAAATCTATTTCATCTTACCCACATATCGACTAATGCATTTTGAATTTGATTATTGTTAATAAAACTTTTTGGTATTTGTTCAATAACCAATTGACATCTTGAATAATCACCAATTTGAGATAATGCTTTAATTACACAAAGAAAAATAACAAAATTTCTTTCAATTCCATCGATTTTCATTTGATTAAATAAATAATATGTTTTTTCAGGATTATTTTCTTTATTAAATCCACTCATTACATTTCCATAACTTTCAGTGGTTTTCTTTTTCATTTTTGAAAAAATTATTTCTGCACTTGAACAATCATTACACTTAATTAATGCATCAAATAATGATGTAAGAATACGTGGATTTAAATGAAAATCTCTTGGAATTTCTTGAAAAACTTTTTTTATTACATTTAATGCTTTATCATTTTGTAATTGAGCACAAGCATTAAATAAAACAATTACAACAACTTGATCAGGATTTTTAATTTTATTGAAAATATCAATCGCTTTATTTGGTTCATTATTTTTTATATAGCCTAAAAAACTAACAAACTCAATTAAACATATTATTTTATTATTAAATAATGCCTTTCATCATTGCTGCAGACATCGCTAATGTTATTTTTTCTGATGAAATAAATAATGATTGTGCATATTCTATATGACCAAAATGCACTTTAAATTATAAATAAATAAAAAACAAAAAAAAAATTTTATCAATGAAACTTACTATAAAAATGAATCAACGATGCTAAAATATAATCATCATTTATTAAACGAGATGATATCATACGATGAATATTCAAACCATATTGAAAATCATTTATTTGAGTAGATGCTTTTAATGCTTGAGTTATAATCATACTTGAAAATTTTTCATTCATTTTATCTTTAAATTCATCAAATAATTCAAGTGCTTTTTTATATTCTTTTTTATCATTTAACAATTTCATTTCATATCCAAAATTAAAATTCAATCGATTACTTAACAAACGATTTGTATAAATAATTATTTTTTCTAATCGATGATTTAAGAATTTGTTTAACATGATCTTTATTTTATTTTTTTATTTCTTCAACTTAAAATACTTTCAAGAATAAAACAATAAATTCAGTTTAATCACACAGATTACAATTCGAATATTTTATCTAGAATATACAAAAATAGGAATTTATATTAAATCAAATTAATCAGATGACATTTGACTTAATAAAAACATCAGAATAATATATTGTCAGAGTTATTTTTTAAATAGATTATATTATTCACTGAATATTTTCATTATTATATTAGATGACTTTCATGAAAACGGTTATCATATAAAACGCCTATTAATTATTTTTATCACTGTTTCGAACTTCAATTTTCTCATCAGCAATCATTGAAATGTCACTTGAATATGCTTTTTTTCTTCCTCGAGCTTGCCAAAATACGGTTCATTCAGCAGCTGTAAAAATTTAGTAGAAAATATTAAGAATTTGTGCAGAATACTAGACGTTTTTAAGAGAAAGTAAACTTTCTTCCTCATAATCAATAATTCTATAACATATTATAATGTCATTTCAACAAAAGTTCGACAGATATTACTAAAGAAAGCAGAATCTGACATGATTAATAATCTATTTCGGTTAGGTGTTTTATATGCTGTTCATGGGAGTTTTTCAAAATAAACTTCATTTCAAATGCGTTTACTCTTATTCTTCATCAAGTATTTTCTTTTGAAGATTTATGGATAAACACGATAACATTATCTACCAGATTTCAATCAATCAATTCATTATCAAGAATTTGATTGGTTATTTAAATACTAATCAAACTGGAACATATATATTTTTATATATTCTATTAAAATAAAATCAACTTTTACTAATTTATTTTTCGAGAAATAATTCTTTTTGTATAAAAAAAAATGAAAACAACCTATGAGCAATTGAACTATTTGGATCATTCTATCGAAAATGAAGGTTTAGATGATTCTATTATGGTTGATTAATAAAAAAAACGACACAAAAAAAAATGCCGTGTGTCTTACAAGGCAGTTCACCCGTCTTACGTCTAATTGAGACGTGTTTTAGATACGAAGTACATCTTGTTTTCTAGACGTATAAGTGAAAAGACAGGAAGCCGTCTATAACTATTAGTCTGTGAGCACATATCGATGAATCATCAAATCAATGTCGACTATGCACTATCTCATTTTATGAGAGTCAGAAGATAAAAATACCATAGAAATACTTAAAAATAAATTCTCTTGCAAACTGCCTTTTTATTTTTTCAATAAAGTGAGTTTCATGCAGTTGACGGCGCTACATTACAGTGTTGAGTCAGCATAAAACACATAAGAATTATGTAACGTTAGATGTCGCAAAAATGAAATTCATGGTTTCCGTCTATAACTCGTAAGTTTTAGTTCGTCAGAAGAAATTAATAGCATAAATAGTCGATATTAATATTTTTCCTTATTTATTATAAAAATTAGCACTTAAAAGTGAGTTTCACCAAAGTGCATTAGTGAATGTTAGGTTCGTCTTTGATTGGCTTTTTTCGCTATGCTTTCTATCACCAGCTCACGTACTAAACGTTCTCTTTCTCGTAACCCTATGTTATTACAACAAGTGATCAATAACTTGAATTTGCTTATCTCTTTTGTACCCAGGTCGACGAATACGGAGGCCATATACGATCGTAAACGACCGGAATGTGGATGCACATGTTTTATTCGGCCACATCCTACAGCCACACCCCACAGGTACACCCTTCATTCATTCATATAAATCTTGTTCATGTATTGCAGCACTAATTTTAACTAGAGATTTCAAACTTTTGAAAATTAAAGTTCTTGATTATATATTTATTTATATATATGATTAAAATGTTAGCCTTTAAATCTAAGAAGAATCAATATTATAATGGGTTTTTCGTGCACATTTAATGACTTCTTAAAAATCATTTCCTAATATAATTATAATCATTGATTAATAGAGAAAAATAAAACCCGAACAAGAATAATAATGATAAGTTCATTTTGACGTTAGCATACAAATAATCATTTTCTAATAAAAATTAATTCCAGTATTTTTTTATATTCATATAAAAGAAAAAAAAAGTAGCCGCTGACTCTCTTTTGAAAAGTTTTCTATCTCATCGAATTTTGATAAAATATCTATAAGAATCTTTTATTTTTAATAAAATAAACCATATACATATATATATTTACAATTGATTTTTTGTTTAAAACAATTTGAATAATATGAAAAGACATATAACGTGTCGGCTATTGGATCTCACTTGACTCAATTCTAAAAGCAGAGAACAACGGCAATAGGATAGGACTCTCAAAAATCAAATTATGCTCTGAATCGGCTGATCATTTTTCGATTCTTCTTATTGTAGTCGGTCACTTGAAGAAAACCAGTGGTTAATCTAGGATTTTTTTCATCAAGACTGCTTCCAAGAGAATATAGGGGCTATTCTTATTCTAAATCGTGTCTTGAAGCTCTTTTTTTTTCAACCAGAGACGACTGTCTCAATGCGTCTTTCCCAAAATGTACTACTGAAGAAAACATCAATTTTTTTTCTCGAAAACTTCTTTGATTCTAAGGCACCAATCGGTGCTTCTTCGAAGCGCTACTCTCGATTCATCACTTCTGTTTATCTTGGTATCATTCTTTGGTAAACTATTTACTTTATCACTGTATGAAGTTTGTTGAGTTGAATTCTGTCCAAGAAATAGTATTTGAACTTGAAATAGAATCTTCCTACTTTCTTTTTGAAAACACAACAGAAAAAAAGCTTGTTGTGCTAATTTTTCATCTTCAATCACTTGTGATAAAGTCTCATTCTGAAATAAAGTAGATTTTGATGACTTGAAAATTTTGACAATATTCTATTTCTTCAAACGATTTGTTTTCTTTGTTACTCGTTTACTGCTGTCTCAATAGTTTATCAATTGAAAATAAGCCAAGAATGAATATGATTGTCCACGAAATATTATTTATATTTATTTTAAAGCAAAATAAAAAAATAAAAAATAAAGACAAAAATAATTTTATAAAATTTATTTTCTTAACTTTGACTACATAAATTTTCATGTAATAAATCAAATATTAACTATAGAAGTTTGAAAAATTTAATAAATATTGAAAAAAATATCTCATTAATGTTTCTTTTGATTATATTTTTACTTCGATACAATAATATTTTAATGTATGAATTAGTTTTCAAAATATTGAAATATTTTACGAAAACTCAGCCATTAGTAGACACTCGGTAATTGTATTTTGATTTCGATAATCACATTTGGTAGTGTCCATTGTATAAAGATAAATTTCCAAGGATTCTTTTAAAAACTTCTTTCAGAAAGATCCATGATTCTACTTGACACAGTTGTCTGTTTTTAATTCAAAATCAGTTGTTTATTCATCTTTCTCTATTATTTTTATATAATCTCAGTTTATGAAATTTTTTAAAGGGCGCTTTTTCGCTATAAAATTTGTTTTTTGTCACTTAGACTTTTCTTCTACGTGAAATTACGTTACAGAAGTAGAATAAAAACGAGTTTTATACCAAACTAAAACTCGTCAAAAATGGACTTTATCAATACGAAATAGCAAGATTTATGGCAACTTTATAATGTTCAATTCAATAGACAGATATGAACATACAATAATTTAAAATATATGAATGTTTGTTTTCAGGCTGATGAAATTATAAGAAAAATGAATTTTTCTTTTAGAATTTCTTTATCAAAGTAATTCTATTCTACCTGTGTTAGTTATTCTCTCGAACTTCATTTTTGATTATAGTTGCAATGTTCTCAGATCAGATATCTACTATTTTTGTGATATTCACATTGAAAACTTATCATAAATCTTCCTACTCAGTATTGTTGAATCTCATATTCAATACATTTTGATCTGATGTAAATTTTATTATTGGTGTTATTTAAAACTAGCGGAGGTACCCGATGGTAGTCATGATAATTTTATAATACATACTTGACATATTAGAAAAAGACGTCACTATGATCTCCTATCAATTATTGGAATTCGATATCGCAAAATATCTTCAGATCACTTTCCCTTTTCAACTTATGTTTTCCCCATTTTTAATTTAAAAAAAAATTTCTATCCTTTTCAGTGTTCTTTTTGTTTGATCGACTTCTTTTATTACAAAAGACCGTTTACCGAAATACAACTTCGATTGCAACGCTTTTTGGTACAGAACTTTCTCGATTTTCGCAACAGGGGCCAAAATAAACAAATTCTTTCCAGTTCCAACTCCTCAGCATTCTACGTTAA